TGGCTACGCTGTGCGGATCCTGCCAGGGCAGGGAGCAGACGCAGCCCGGCTGGACGCCGCCAGGTGATGGCACAGGCTGCCCCGGGCCCTGCTGAGCACTCCCAGGGAAGGGGCAGCACCACTGGCGTGTGGGGTGCAGTGAGGGCCGGGGCCTGCCGCCCCAGCTGGGCCTACGGTGAGACGGGGCTTCTCTGCCCACAGCCACAGGAGCCGAGGCGGTGGCCCTCCGGGCTCGCTCCCTCCAAAGGCGGGAAGTGACCTGTGAAGGCGTCACTCCCGTCCTCGCCCCTGAACTCAGCCAGCAGGACTTCACCGGGCGGCCCTGGCCGAGGGCTCGTCCCATGCCAGAGGCGCTGCCCTTGCCCAAACCCCCAGACAGGCTGTCAAGTGGGACAGAGCCACCCTGGCACCCACCCGGTGCTTTCTCAGAACTGCTCCCCGCAGCGGCCCCGCCTGTACCTGCATGTTGAACTCAAAGGCCTTGTTGGCCTCCTCCACGATCTTCTCTTTGGTCTGCAGGCTCAGGTCGAGCGCGTTCATCCTGGCCCGGTAGAGCTGCTTAAACTGCTGCGCATTGTCTATGTTCTCAAACAGGTAGAACTGGGTCCCTTCCCCCGTGCTGGGGAGCTTCAGGGCCCGCTGGGCCACCTTCCGCAGCACCTGGCCCCCCGACAGGTCCCCCATGTAGCGGGTGTAGGCGTGCGCCACCAGCAGCTCCGGCGTGTTTTGCCCCACGTAGTGGATCCGCTCCACATACTTCTGGGCTGCCTCGGAGCACCGCACCCGCTTCTCCCAGCCCTCTCCAAAGAAATAGGCCATGTCCTTGGTCAGCGCCTCCCTCCGGTGCAGCTCCGAGGGGAAGTACAGGGGCGCGAAGGCCGGGTGGTCCTTGTTGCGGTTCATTTCCTCCTCCAGGGCCGAGTATGTGAAGTAAAGTGCAGTGGTGGCCAGCTGCGGGGCAGTGGGGGGAGGAGGGCGACCAGGCTGTGGGCTGCGGCTCCCGCCCGCCCCCCGCCGGCCCCCGCCGGCAGCACTGCCTGGAGGCAGACGCCCGGGGCGTCCTGCACACCACCGTTGCTCCCCGCTCCCCTTAAGCGGGGACCGGCAGCTTGGCATCAAGAGGCTGGCGCCCCCCAGTGCGGTTCAAGGGGGCTTCCGCACGGGCCTAAGGCCCCCGACCCAACCCCGTTCACGACAACGGGCGCAAACCTTAAACAGCTCCTTCCTGATGTTGCCCTTCAGGAAGTCCTTCACGAACTGGGTGTTTTCTGCCCGGTCGTGCGCTTCCTTGGTCCCTTCCTTTAAGAGCTCTGAGAGGTCGGCCATCCTACGGAGACACGCACGTCAGAGGCAGCCCTTTCTGGTTCCAGAGTGATGCTGGCTGCGCTGGAGCCGAGTCGGCCTCAGGACGTGGAGACGCCAGGCTGACCCTACGCCCGCGTCTCCACCCCCTGAAAGGTGCTTTGCATCCCTGGCTGCCTGCGCAAACAGACCCCTCCAACCCCACCAGAGCACCCCCCGGCTGCCCCGGGGAAGCCGGGTTTGGGACTCCGAGCTGCTGGTGAAGGATCGAGGGCCCCCAGGGAGGGTGCCGCTGCCCCCTCCCACCTGCTCCCACAGCCCCTCAGGACGACCTGGGGGCAGGCCCGGTGGAGGGTCAGGAGGAGACAGGGCCAGGCTGGTGCAGCCAGGACCCGCATCTGCATGACGTGACCATGTCCATGGGACAGCGGGCCCAGGATGAGACATGGTCTGCAGCAGACCCCGGACAGTCCGCCCCAGAGTGAGAAGCTGGCCTCTCGCGACCCAGAGCCCGCCGGCTTCTTCAGAGGGTGGGCTCCCGTCACCCATGTGCTCAGAACGGCTTAGAATGAGCAATAATTTCAGGATGTTGAGAACACCAGAGCTCCGCACGGCGAGCCTTTCCCAAGAGATGGCGCGCGAAAGCAGAGGCCCCGGTAACTTGGGAGCCGACCTCCCCAGAAAGAGAAGCACGCATGTTCGAGCTGGCCCACGCTCTGGGGGTGGACACACGGAAGGCGTCGCGTGGCCTGGCTATCACTCTCATCCCAGGGAGCTAGAAGGCCAAGGGCTGCTGCGCCGCAGCCCCGGGCGAGATCTTGGGGACAGCCCTGAGGGTGGGGCTGCTGCCCCGCCTCCCCACGTGGCACCCTGACCACACCACGCCCACATGGCTCACCTGGCGTGGTCTTCCTTCCCTGGGGCCCCAGGGCGCTTCCTCTCCGACTCGTCCATCCCCTCCGAGGTCTCCAATTCTGCCGACATCTCTGCCGGGTGCGATTCCCACAGCGCACGCTCTGGTCCTGCAAAGACAGAGGACCTAGTGACGCGGCGGCCACTGCGGCCCACTCAGCAAGCCCCGAGCAGGGGCGCCCACACGTCTGCCTCAGGAGCGGCTGCCTCAGATAAAGACCCGCCCTCCCAGTGGCCATGTCCGATGTGGTCGGAGGAGACACCACGATGCTGAGCCGGCGGGGCGGGGAGAGGCCATGTCCCTGGCGCTGTGGACACTGTGCGCTGGGCAGAGTACACACCGTGCAAGCTCGGTAGCCAGGTGGCTGACAGGGACTGGAGAAAAGCACCCAGGAGTCTACTATTCTTTAACTTTCCTCTGAAAATTCCATCTCAAAAAAGCCATCGACAACAAAGTAACAGAAAGGCAGACAAAGGTGAGAAACAGAGCAGGGCAGACCAGCAGCAGGCCGCAGCGGGAGGCCAGAGGCCACAGCCTGGGGGCAGCACCTGCCCTCGGTGCAGCCCCCCACCGCCCGTGCCTACAGTAAGGTCCAGCCAGCTGGGGCGCCCTCCACTGGCCCCGCCTGCTCCAAACTCCCCAGGTCTTTCCTGCCGCCCGCGGGGCCCACAGCGAGGGGCCCCCTCCCGGGATGCTGCCGGTCGCCCTCCACCCTAGAGACCTTGCAAAGAGCCAGCCCTGGGGACCTGCCAGGGCAACGGGCGCACAGCTGCACCACCACAGACACGGGGACTCAGCCCACAGGGCCAAGGCCGGCCTGGCAGAAGCCCCCACCTCCACCGGCCCGGCCAACCTCGCGTCCCTCACACCCGCCGCTAGAGACATGTGTGGAGCAGGGCAGGAGCCAACACGGCCTCCGTGGGGATATAGAGGAAAACAAGCCCAGCGGCCCCTTCCAGGCCCGTGGGGTATGCGCCCGGGTCGCCAGTGTCCTGCGGGTCCCGAGGCAGGGGGTGCATTTCCTAGCTGTTCCGGGCTGCTCGAGTGCGGTCTACTCCACTGGTCTTCCAGAACCTTCTCTGGCCTAAGGTTCAGCGTTTACAAACTGGTTAAAAATAGAGGGCTGAGGGCCCTCCCTGGTGGCGCAG